GTGGCGGCAAATGGGCTTGGGCGGCTCCTCGGCGGGTGGCGGCTGTGGCCGTAGCGGTTCCTCCTGGCCCTGTTAATGTCGGGGCCAGGCCCGGGGAGGATGGCGCCCTAGAGCTCGGCCTCGCTGGGTCAGGGGCGGGAGGGGACGGGGCGGGGACCGGCCATGTCGGAGGTGACCCGGAGTCTGCTGCAGCGCTGGGGCGCCAGTTTCAGGAGAGGCGCCGACTTCGACTCCTGGGGCCAGCTGGTGGAGGCGATAGACGAGTATCAGATGTGAGTGACTGGCAGCGGGAGCGGGCCAGACCGGCCGCCGCCGGCCGCCTCCCCTCGTTTCTGACGGCGTCTGCCACCACGGGGTCTGCAGCCCGGGCTGCCCAGGGCGGGGCCCCGCAGACACTGGGGCTGCTCTGCAGGCGACGGTCCGCTCCCTGAGGCTCCTCGCCCTGCTTCTCCTCTGCCTGCACTGGGCCAGCTCCATTCAACAGGTCCCCCTTCTTTCCTGGGGCGCCGGCCCTAGCAGGCCACCTACTTAGTTCCTTCCATCGCTTTGCAGTCTCCTTCCCTCCGCCCCTCCCAGGTTGCCACCCCTCGATCTCTCTTTTAAATTCTCTGAGGAGTACTTGTGTGCTCTCCGCCCACGTTCCAGGGACGAGTGGCCTTGCTCTGTGTGTGTGTCTTCCTCCATGTGTAGGAGGGGAGGGGGTGCCCCAGGACGGAGCGAGGGAAGGGATGCCTCTCTGCTAAAAGAAGGGTCCCCTCTCGCGCTCCTTCTCCACTCCTCTTCCTGGTGAGCCGTGTCTTCACAATTCCACCTCGATTTCGTTTCGGTTTCTGGGACTGTTATTTGCCAGGCTGTGAGTCCCACCCACCCCCTCGCTCGGTTGCTTTGGGTGGAGTCCGCGCAGGATGTGAACAGAAGAGAGCAAAATGTGAATTAATAGACCACGCTCGGGAGCTAGTAGGGAGACTCCCTCCTTGGGTCCCTCCTCCTTTTCCTGTGTATAATGTATAGCCTCAGGGTACACGAGAAAACAGGTTTTCTTGATAAGCCTGAGTCCGATTTCTTTCCCTTTCTGATTTCCTCGCAAAGTTTCAGGAGTATTTTTAAAATTAAAAGATTTATCTACATATATAAAATATCGCTTAGTGTCTTGCACATTTTGCTAAACGTAACTACCTACTAAAATGTTATTTTTGGAAACTGTCGCCATTAATTATTCTTGGGTTAAAGCAAGTTATTGTTTAAGGTTTCACCGAGTGTGGAACCAGGTGTGAGTAACATCCGTCTCCTCCCCAATGTCCTCTAGAAAGAATACAGGATTGATACTTGGAAGATCTAATCCGCTCACCATAATAGTTGTTTGTTTTTATCTGACCATTAAGATAATTTAGATGTGTAGATATTCTTTACCCCGTTTTACTGACTTGGAATTGCCTGTAGTATCAATAAGCCCTGGAAACAACCATGTTCTGGGCCATTTTGCCATGTGAAACATCTACTATTTGTTTGGCACTTTCACATGATTTCATTTGCTCTTGCAACTACCCGGTGAGAATATAATCATTCTCATTTTACAAAATGAGGAAACCGAAGCTCAGGTTAAACAGATTACCCAGGGTCATAAAACAATACCACTGAAATCTGGGATTTTTAAAATTCCAAATCCTGTCTCCTCCACTACATAATGCTTAAGATGCTTTATATATGATGCACTGATAGAGTAATTCTGTAAGTGAATTGGACACATTAGAAGATTTCCTTGGTTACTGGAGAACATACCCTTCCAAAATGTAGCCTGTTAGACAGTGAGTACCTATGTATGTTAAGTAAAACTGCCTGTCCTGAGATATAAAGCCACCTGTCACCTGGGACGTGGTGGAACCCAGCAGCTGTCGAAGCTGGGCGGGAGACCTCACAATGGAAAGTGAAGAATAAATACCATGTCCGATTGAAATTACAAAGGAAAATTGAATATGCAATCCGTTTAGCTGGAATTTCTAGAAACATCTGAATGAGGGTAATAGGCACAAGCAAATCTATTATTGGACCTCAGTACTAACCTTTGAACTTCATGATTCAGAGTAGTCCTAAAATTGATATAAAAACTGCCAGTGTCAAAGTTCAATGGAAATATGTAATGATTGGCTTAAATTTTATAAACATACAGGCTACATATAAAATGAGGCAAGAAGTTAAAATTAGTATATCCGAAAGTGAAGGCAAATTGTCCTTTTTATTTGAAGTATCTGTTTGGGAGGAAAGGCTGCAGCAAAGGAGACCAGTTGGGGCCACTATAAAGATGTGAACAAAAATTGACAGAATTGAGTCACTGACTGGGTATCTGAGTGTAGAAGGAAGAAGTGTCTGGAATAATGGCTATTTCTAATTGGGTAGGCAGCAATGTCTTTGCAGTCATACAACAAACAGGAGCTAGTTTATAGGGAGGGTAGATTTTAGGGAAGGGGTAGTACAGGCTGTAGCTTAGACAATTTCATCACTTAACAAGTGAGAGCGAGGGATACAAAAATGAATAAAATTTGATTTCTGCCCTCAAACACTGAGAGTCTAATGGGAAGTTTTGGAGTAACTTGGTATTGCAATTACAGACGTATGAAAAGAGTAAGTGCTGCCACACTTCTTGCTGTTTCCTGGAGCGTACACCTGCCTTAGGGATTTTGTATTTTTTTCTGGAACACTCTTGCCCCCATTATCTGCTTGGGTGTCTTGGTCACCTACTAAATATTATCTTCTCGGTGAGGCCCTCTCTGGCTACCCTATTTAAAGTTACAAAGGCTGCTGTCCACCCGCACTCCCTTACCTCATTCTTGCACATCCTGCTTCATTTATTTCCGTAGTAGTTATCACAATCTAAAATACACCTAAAATATATTTTACGTATTTATTTTGTTTACTGCCTCCCACTGGAATGTAAACTCTTTGAGGTCAAGATTTGGGGTTGGGAAGTGTCTATTTTGTTCTCGACTGTATACTTGTTTATTTTGTTCTGTATACTGTATACTGCATCCACAGTAGTACTAGGCTATCAATACATAATTGTTTGTTTAAACATTATGTAATTATTCTATTGAATGGATGAATTCAGGATTATGCTATGGGAGCATTAAGGAGTTGATGCTAAAATACTACTGGAAGGTTTAAACAAGTTATGTCAAAGCTAAAATTGTTATCCAAAATATATATGGTCAAGTAAAAGTAAACCCATTTAGCAGGCCACCTCTTTCAGCTACCTGGGTATACATGACCTCTAACTGATGGTAGAGTGGTACAGAAACGTGCTTAGAATCAGACATTTCACAGGATCAATCCTGAAGTATATCTAGCACATGGATGCTAATAAATACCTGTTAAGTGAATGGGAGAGTTTGAAGACTGGATAATACCTGCTTTTAGTCATCTTTTCTATGCTTTGTACCTGTGCTGCTTCAAGTACGGTCCACAGATTGTGGTGGTCTGCAAAGTGTTGCTAGTCTGCAACAAGATAAAGAACGAAATTGAATTGAGAGTGAGCATTTAGAAACAAACTTTACAGCAGTTTGACATCTTCACAATATTTTTTATTGTATTTAAAAAAAAGTGTTAGCTTATAACAGATTTTTAGGGAAAAACTGATCTTTTACTACAGATAGTTTAAGAAGCACCAATTTCCGTGCCATGGAATTCTGTGGAGTTTCCATCTGTCACTTGTTTATATGCTTAAAGTATTTTTAACAACTCCACCCCCACTCCCAGACCCCCGAGAATAGTCCTGTTTTACTTGTAGGCACCTTCGTAGGGCAAGATGAGTCTGTAGAGAATATTTGACAGGTTTCTCACCTTTACTAGCAGAATGTCAACTTTTTTATTTGCTCATCTGACATCCAGAGCATGTAGATTTTCCTGTAATGGACAAAATCAGATCTAATTTTTGTCTTAAAATGGTCCAATCTTTTGTGGATTTAAAAAAGTAATTTTTTTGCTTAGGCTTAAAAAAAGTTTCTTTAAAACAACCTATTGAGGTAAAACTTATATACAATGAAATGCACCCATTTTACAAGTACAATTTAATTATCTTTTAGTTCAATTTACCAAGTTATGCAGCCATCACCACATTCAAACTTTAAAACATTTCCATCACCCCGAAAAGATCCCTTGTACCTATTTGCAGTCATTCCATAGTCCCACTCTAGCCCCAGATAACGAATAATTTATATTCTGTCTTCTATAGATTTATCTTTTCTGGACATTTCATGTAATTTGAATCATACAATGTGTGATCTTTTGTATCTGGCTTTTTAAATTTAGCATAATGTTTTTAAGGTTCATCCATGTTGTAGCATGTATCCGTACTTTGTTTCATTTATTGAAGAATAGTATTACATTACATGAATATACCATATTGTATTAGTCTGTTTCTGTTTCTTATAACAAAATACCTGGAACTGGGTAATTTATGAAGAAACAATATTATTGCTTACAGTTTGTGAGGCTGGCAAGTCCAAAGTCCAAGGAACACATCTGGTGAGGGTCTTCTTTGGTGGTGGCTTCAGCAACCCAGGGTATCACATTGTGAGATGGTGGAAGCAGAGAGGGATCCTCATACTCTGTCCTTTTAAAGTCCTCAGAACCATGCCCACCATTAAACCATCCACTTAATCACCTCTTGAAGGCCCCACCTTTCAGTTACCATAGTAGGATTTCCTTAACACTGTCACAGCGGGGTCCAAAGCTCCAACACGCTAAACGTTTGGGGGGGACACAATTTAATACATAACACACATTTTGCATATTCATTCAGTAGTTGATAAACATTTTAATTGTTTCTGATTTTTGACTATTATCGGTAATACTGCTGTGAACATTCTCACATGGAAGTCCTTGTGTGGACACATGTCACGGTAAGTACTTGTGTGGACATATATGATGGTAATTAAAAACCTTTTAATTCTATTTTTCCATGAACTTTTTGAAGTACCCTTATATTTTAATTTGTCTTAGGTAGGTACCTAGGAGTGGAACTGCTGGGTTATATGGTAAATTTGTGTGTAACTTTTAAATTATTGTCTAAACTGGGTGTACCATTTTATATTTCTACCAGCAGTGTATGAAGATTCCTATTTTTCCACATCGCCAGCATTTGTTATTGTCTATGTTTTTGTCTTTTTTTTTTTTTTTTGTGACCGGTAAGGGGATTGTAACTCTTGGCTTGGTGTCGCCCGCACCGTGCTCAGCCAGTGAGCGCACTGGCCATCCCTATATGGGATCCGAACCCGTGGCCTTGGTGTTATCAGCACCGCACTCTCCCGAGTGAGCCACAGGCTGGCCCCCTATTGTCTATGTTTTTGTCTTTTTTTTTTTTTTTTGACCGGTAAGGGGATTGTAACTCTTGGCTTGGTGTCGCCCGCACCGTGCTCAGCCAGTGAGCGCACTGGCCATCCCTATATGGGATCCGAACCCGTGGCCTTGGTGTTATCAGCACCGCACTCTCCCGAGTGAGCCACAGGCTGGCCCCCTATTGTCTATGTTTTTGATTGCAGCCATTCTAAGTAGGTGTATAGTGTACCTCACTGTGGTTCGATTTGCATTTCTCCAGTGACTAATGTTGCGTTTCTTTTATATGCTCAATTCCCCTCTGTAAATTTTGTTTGTGAAGTGTCTGTTCATATCTTTGGCCCATTTTTTAATTGAGTTGTTTGTCTCTTACCTATTGAGTTGTAAGAGTTCTTTATATATTCTGGATACAAGTCCTTTACCAGATACATGATTTGCAATATTTCCTCCCAGTCTGTTGCCTAGTTTTGAAGAACAGGATTCTGTTTGGATTTAGCATCCTTTTGTACTGACTATTAGTATTTGAGCAGGAGTTCAGAGCTGCATCTTTTCTTCTGACAATTAACCTGCTTAGGTTGACAGCCAGTATTAGCAAATTATGTGTAGAATTATTCAGATAAACTTGTGCCATGCTATAGTTTCTCTGAGTTCAGAAACATATAATTGACACTGTTAAGGATACAGACTGTGGGTTCCTAAAGAGTATTCCATATAAGTGGTAGGCAAGCAAGAGTTAGAAAATAAACCAAGTACAGAACAAAGAGAATGGCTGTATTTGTTTCTATTTTCACTGTCTCATGTGTGGAATCCACAAAAAGTGAGCCTATGAATGACATTTTAGAAGAAAATATTATGGGATTTCTAGTTTTGGGAGAAAAGAAATAAATGTATGGAAGCACTTTGATTAAGTAACATGGTGGAGCTGTCCTGGCAAATGTTATGATTTTTTAAAAGGAATTTCTTGCTTTATGATAAGAAGGATGCGTATCTTTCATAGATTGGATAGAGGCCATTAAGAATAATGAACTTTATGCCTGATCTTTAAAGACATGATTGCATAGAATAGAACTCTTCATCTAGTACTGTTTTTTGGAAATATGATGAACTGTCTACTGCAATTGGCTTGGTAGAAAATCTAGCAATTGCGGGGCCGGCCCATGGCTCACTCGGGAGAGTGTGGTGCTGAAAACACCAAGGCCATGGGTTCGGATCCCATATAGGGATGGCCAGTTGCTCACTGGGTGAGTGTGGTGCTGACAACACCAAGACAAGGGTTAAGATCCCCTTACCGGTCATCTTTTTTTTTTTTTTTTCCTTTTTGTCTTTTTTCGT